TTTCTTTTTTCTTATCTGTATCCCCAGCAATCTGCACAGTATATGGCATCATGGTAAGTGTTTAATAAATGTGTATTGTACTGTATTGTATTGTGTTGTATTGTATTGTGTTGTGTTGTGTTGTGTTGTGTGGCACGGTATCGTATTGAAGCCATGAACTTTACCACTATTTCTTGGGGGGTTTTTTCCTAGTGAATTTAGGGATGGGGGGGGTCTTACCTGCTATTTCTCCTTCTTTGTAGTTACTTGGGGAATATATAGGTAATCTTTCCCCTTTCTGTTTTTTTTTCACTGTAAATCTCCTTTTAATTAGATTTGCAGTACACTAGGCAAAGATATTCTTACCAGCTCCTATGAGTTCAATTGTCATCTCTATGTAGATGATTTCAAGAAATATATGTATGCATATGTATGTATATATGCATATGAAAATATATGTGATGACTAATGTGGAAATACGTTAATAGGATTGCACATGTATAGCCTGTATCAGATCGCCTGCCGAGAGAAGGAGAAAAAAAATTTGGGATTCAAAATCTTATAGAAGTTGATGTTGGAAATTCTCTTCACATGTAATTAGAAAAAAATAAAATACTATTAAGTGGGAAAAATAAATAAACAAAAAAGAAAGAAGATATACATGAATATATGTATGTATGTATAATAACCCAAAGCTTTAATCTCATATCATAAATTGGATATCCCATAGACATCTCAAACTCAACATATTCAAATCAGAACTCAGTATTTTTTCCCCAAACCCTTCTTTCTTTGTGACTTTCACTGTCATGGAGACTATCATACTTCTAGTCATGCAGCCTCACAAACTTAGCGTCATCTTCAATTCCTCACACTCATGCTACATATCCAATCTGTTTCCAATTTTTGTTATTTCTATCTTTACATAACTTCTGAAATACTTCCCATTCTCTCCACTCAAACAGCTACCATGCTTATACAGGTCCTCATCATTTCGCATTTAGACTATTGTCATAGCTTTCTGGTTGGTCTTCTCACCTCAAATCTTTACTCACTCCACTTCATTCTCCTCTCTAAGTGATTTTCCTAAAGTTGTGATAATTTGTATTTATTCACTTTATGCTGCATACATATGTATACTTTGTATTGATGCTTCATATGTGCACACTTTATTTTTGTGTCCACACATGTGTGTATATGCATGTATATGTATATATGCACATGTGTGTATACACACATATATACATGTGCATACTTGCATACTTATCTCCCCAATTAGAACATATAGTTCCTTGCCAGTTCATTCTTCATACTTGTAGCTCTAGCACCTAGCACAGAGCTTGGTACATAGCCTCTCTTATTGAATACTTATTGATTGATTGATACCAAAAGGGTGCTGTTCAGCATGGAGTCTGTAAAAAAGGCTGTGAAAAGGGGCAGATGGGACTTGGTAGTTGTGTACCCAGCAATGACTGGGGAGAGGCTGCTTCTCTGAGGAATGCTCAGTACTGTTCATATAGACAAAAATGTCCTTGGAGGATAGAAGGACAATTCATCTATGATTAATGGAATTATCTTTTAGGAACATCCGAGAAAGTTTTGCTCCCCAAGAAAGTTCCTGATCTGAACTTGGTCTCCTGAGTTGAATTCTCTGCCCAAAGGGATTGATTGGCCGTACCAATACCTGGTATCCTGCCAGAAAAATATATTACTGTGGATTAATAAACCACTTTTCTGTTTGCTAAATCAGTTTATTCTTAGTATGGGTCATGTGAATTGATTCTTCTCAGTCAATCTCTTAGTGAAAAGAATAAAGAGCATTGAGTCACTGAACTTTTAATATAAGGAGAACATACCCTGACCTTAGTGTGACTCTAGAACAATACAACAGTGACTAGAACCCAGAATGAAAAAGAAACTTCTCTCTTTCTCTTAATGCGCACCATCTAAACCCAGATCATTTGGAGCTTAGGGCTTTTCTCCTCCAGGAACAAAGCTAAAGGCTCACAGAGGCTCCAAGAAAGGAGCTGCTGGACCAGCCTGCCCATGCAGAGAGTGGTTGCAAGGAGCTAAGATGTTGGAGACATGACTGGCAGAGTTGGGGAGAGATTTCTGAAGATGCTAATTTTATGAATTTTGAGATGGGCCACACTTCATTGCTCATGTCCAGAGAGTGCCAGGGAAGGAGAACAGAAATGACATTTACCTTGGATGCTCAAAGGGTCTTTTTTGTTCCCGGATAGGTTGTAATTGATCTCTTGGTACATGGCTTCATAAAGAGAATCCCCATATCCCCATATCACCCTGTCCTCACTCTAAATCAGTGTCTTCCTTCTCAAGGTTCTCAGCCCCATCCCATGGTCCTCACACTCACCTGGACATCAGCATCCTTCTCCTGCCTGCAGTCATGCTGCCCCCAGGGCCTTGCAGGGCAATCCTGCAGAGGGGACTCCCTCACTCTGCTTTCCACCTCCTCCTACCAGATGGTCCCATTTCCTGGGCCAATTTAAATTCCTCCCAGGACAGCCAGAGCAGAGCCACAGCCCAGCTGCTGACAAACCACATTAATCTCTGCTAGGTCCCAAAAGTCACCAAATACTGTCCCCCAAGACCCATTGTGCCAGATCTCCACTCGTCCACAGCATGGGGTCTTTCCTCCCTGAGTTGGAGTTTGTCTTTATCTGGAAAGGAAGCAGAATCCCCTGTTGCACTCCCAGCTAAGAAGTAAGGAACCTCTGAGAGCCCCAGTATAAAACAGGAGGAGCTGAGATACCTATGCAGGGACTATAGGTTGGGCAGTCAATGTCCTTCCTTCCTGCCAAGGAAGATATTGGGAAAGAGCTGGAGCAATGAGTCCTACGAGATCACTGGAGCAGTAACTCTTGCTGTTCCAGAGCAGGATTCCCAAATATCCCTGATCTCACTCCAAAAAGATGAAGTAGAGCTATGCTCTTCATTTGCACCTTGAAGAACTATTGCATTCTTATGAAGAACTATGCAGTATGTAAAAAAGATGTGAGTAAAAAAGTTCCTGCCCTTCAGAAAGGAGCTCACAATGTGGCCTGAGAAAAAGAGTGAGAGGACATGAATGCAAAAAGGTAAGTAGCTGAGCGTCATTAAGGGACTCAGTAGATGGGAAGTAGCCAATAGAGATGGAGATACTGGGGATGCAAAAGATAAGGCGGCTATGATTGGTGTAGCGAGGTAGGATGGAATTCAGAGTACATACAAATGGAGTGATCAGCCTAAAGGATAAATAGATATACTTTTTCCTCTGAGATAAAAGGGAAGAAAGAAAGAGTGAGTTATGTTCCTGATAAGTTATGAGTAGTAGATGAAGGAAGTTTAGGTAGCTTTAGTGAAATCACCCCAAACTTCCCAGAGAGATTGGTTGCTCAGTAGTAGGCTATAAATGTGTAATTTAGAGCTTGAAGAGAGCAGAAACATTTTGGAAGAGTAACTATTAGGAATGATCTAGGGTGTCAAGGGAGTAAAAGGATTTCTAAGAGCCCAGATGAGATTATACCATATATTACAAGTTGGCACAATCAGCTTTCATTTCATAGCTTTTTCTAAGGATGCTCAACAACTCTGAAGCAGGAAGGTGGAGAATGATGTGAATCAGCTGGTGAAGTAAGGAAAAGCCAAGTAAGAAAAAGCTGAATTTCTAGCACTGGGATCTCAGAAGTTCCTTACTTTTAAGCTAGGAGTATAACAGAGGATGCTGCTTCCTTTCCAGGCAAAGACAAACTCCAATTTAGAGGAGGAGTGATGCCATGCTCTGGATAAGTGGAGATGTGGCACTTTGAGATGGGCCATACTTCAGTGCCAGGGAGGGAGAACAGAGATTACATTTACCTGGATGCTCAAAAGGTCTGTGTGTGAGAAAAGATTCCAAGGGACAGAGGGAGGATGAATGTTTAGTGAGTCACCAAAGTGACAGACTTTGAGGTCAACGTTATGTATAGAGAGAAGTGAAGATGCTTCAGTCTTTACTTGACAATGTCACTGGTGGGAAGCTAACTGTTCCATGAGGTTGACAAATCTAGTGTGAGATGGATAAGTGTCATAGAGCACTGGACCTAGATTTGAGAAGATCTGAGTTCAAATCTAGCCTCCAGATGCTCATTAGCTGTGTGTCCCTGGGCAATTCACTTACCCTGTCTGTCTGAGTATCTTCATCTGTGAAGTGGGGATATAATAACAGTACCTACCTCATGGGATTGTTGTAAAGATTAATGACATAATATTTGCAAGGTGCTCTAGTTTTGTTCTATGGAATAATACAGAAAAAGCCTACACCCTGGTCCATACCACTACCATGGCAGCCCTTTGAAAACAATCCTTGTGATGTCTCTTGAGCTTCCCTTCTCCAGCCTCCACAGATTGTTTCTTCGAACAATCCCTCACATGAATGTGGTGCATGTAAGAGAAAATGGCAGATGTGCTCTGAGCGGCAAAGAGTGTAGGCGAGGCCTATTGCATCTTGACAATGTACTATGAATACAGTCAAATATTATGTTAAATTTAGCAGCTTAGTTACATTATTAGTTGATCACAAGCTTTTAGTGAACCAAAATTTAAAACCTCAGTTCTTTTTCCATCTAGCTCATCAACCCATTTACATAGAGCTTAAAAGTTTGCATGTGCTTTACAAACATTGTATCATATTATCCTCACAATACCTTAGGAGAGAATTAGATGCATTATTTCTCCCCATTTTATGGGGGAGGAAACTGAATGACTTGCCCATAGTCACATGGCTAGATTTGAACTCAGGTCTTCTTGACTCCAGCATCCAGAGCTCTATCCATTACACTACCTAGTTGCTCTAAGACCAGGCTGTAGATGTTGCCCATAGTTTTAGCCCACTTGGACTAAAATATCAGCAAGGAATCAAACAGAACATACAAATATAGATTACCCACACATATGATATAGGCTTCTTGTCCCTAGAAGCAAGAAGCCTGGTTCCAAGACTGAGAAGGACAATGCCAGAGGGAGGGTTTCTACTTTCGGCAGCTGACTTTATCTACTCACTGGATTTACAAACTTCTGTGATTAGAAGGTAAATCAAGATGCTCCTGTCCCCACAACTCAAGTGTCTGCAGATGACTTACTATGGTGTTGCTGTCCATGAGTAGATGTCCCATTGTGGAAAATATCCAGCCACTCAGCACAATCATAGTCATCACTCACCAGCCTGAGAGCTAGGGACTCTGGAAATGGAGAAGAAGGGAGAGTGTGGTCAGATAGGACATTTGCTCCCTCATTCTCTGGTCTCTCCCCTCTAGAAACTAGAAGGCACATTCTCCCACTCTGCTAAGGAGGCTCCACTCAACATCACAGACCACACATAATCTCCACCACTCCCTTTCCAGATTGATGTTCTCTCTATATTTCTAAATGTTTCTGTCTCAAATCAGCAGATATATGTTAAACACCTACCATTTCAAAGGCACTGGGGACACAAGAGAAAACAGTGAAACATGCATAGGCTAAAGGGAAGTATTCTATTCTATGCAAACAAAATGTGATTTAGAATTCTACTGATTTATGGCTACCTTTCTGGATATGGGTCTATATAGTGACTGCTCCTCTGTTAAGTCTTAGTATTCCCAGCTACTGAGTGTAGTCCCATAGTCTTGTACTTCTCTGAGAGTATGAAGTCAAGGACTGAGAGATCAGGCAGTGATTAAGCTGGTTCCTGGCCCCTGGAATAGACTGTAGGCTGCCTTGCTTACTTCTGCACTATGTTGTGAGTGTAACTTTCCCTGACCTAAAGAGGCATTTCCCTTGATCTTTAAAGACAAGATGTAAAGTGCTTTGCATACTTAAAGCATTATAGAGATGCTAACTATTATTATAAATCTTGTGTTAGTCCCTCCTCACCACAGGAAAGGGGTTCCTAGGTCCTCTCTCTTTGGAAAGGTTGGAGTGAAAAAAGATGAATGCTGTTCCTTCCGTTCCTTCCACTCTTGCAACTGCTTTGATTATTCACATGCATCTGATAAGCAAAATATTTTTCTAATACTAATACTCTGAGCTCATCTTCATTTTGACTATCTCTACACCATCCTTTGGGCAGTTAGTTGGTGCAGTAGATAGAGTGTTGGGCTGGGAGCCATAAAGACCTGAGTTTAATCTGGCCCAGAAACTTACTAGCTGAGTGACCCTGGGCAAGTCACTTAACCCTGTTTGCCTCAGTTCCTCATCTGTAAAATGAGCTGAAGAAGGAAATAGCAAAGATATTGGAGTGGTTTGTCATTTCCTCCTTTTTTTTTTGTTTTGGTGGTGATGGAAAAAGACTTTTTTCCCTCTCTTGACTTAGCTGAAAATATAGCAGCCACTCACGGGCTGATCCCAGTATTGATCTACACAGAAGCTCCCATCTGTTCCATTTTCAAATTGGACTGCTTCATTCTTCCTTAGGCAGCTTCATGTCCAACTCCATTCCACAGTAATTGAGGAGTTTTCTTTTTTTAAAAAATGTATTTATTCACTATTCATTATTCACTGTTCTTTTCTTTTTCAACAGTTTGTGAGTGTATTTATTTTCCGTAAATTCCTCCAACATTTGTCATTTCTGATAGGTGTGAGGTGGTACCCCAGAGTTGTTTTAATTTGCATGTCTCTAATCATTAGTGATTTAGAGAATTTTTTTAAAATGACTATACATAGCTTTGATTTCTTCTTCTTAAAGCTGCTTGTTCATATCCATTGACCATTTATTAATTGGCTCTTATTTTTATAAATTTAATTTAGTTTTCTATATATTTGAGAAATGAGGCCTTAACTGGAGAAACTTGCTGTAAAAAAAGGTGATATACTTCATTGCCTATGGTGCTGTTTAGCAAAATGTAGTTTCCCTTAGTATCTTTTTTAATTAGATCTATTTTTGCTTTCATTTTGTCTGAGATCATGGTTGCTACCTCTGCCTTCTTCACTTCAGCTGAAGTGCAATAGATTCTACCACAGCCCTTTATTTTAACTCTGTGTATATTTTCTGCTTCAAGAATGTCTCTTACAAATAACATATTGTTGGATTCTGGTTTTTAATCCATGCTGCTATCTGCTTCCATGTTATGAGTGAGCTCATCCTATTTTCATCCACAGTTATGATGACTGTGTATTTGTCTTTATCCTATTTTCTTATGTTCATCTTTCTCTTCATATCTTGTCCCTCCTCAACAATTTATTTTGCTTTTGAGCATTGCCTCCCTTAATCCCCTGTCACTTTTAACATCCTTGCCCATATTTCCTCTTTCCTTGCCTTCATATTTTTCTATTGAGTCAAATAGATTCTATACCAGAGGTGGGGAATCTTTTCATGTTGGAAGGCTGCATTAATATTTACCTGTAATCAAATAAAGGTTGCTTTCAAGAAACTTCAATTAGATATACTTAAAATATACATTATTTTGTAAACATCTAACTGTTATATACTTAATAATTTCAAAAACTGAAAACTTTGTTTATTTTAAAGTTAACTAACCTTTTAATGACTTTATTGTGTCTGCTTTTTGTTGGAAAGCATTTGAATATTTGATTGTAGTATGGAGGTCTGCAGTTTCTGTTAATCCTCTAGGTGGGTATCAGTCATTTGTGACCTTACAGACATCTTGATTTGGGTTAGGTGGGAGAATGTGGATTCATAGTAATAAGTGGTTGAAAAGCTAGAAACCATTTTGAGGGCATCTTATTAAAGGCATGGGTATTCTACGGCACTTTTCCATATTTTGATTGGATCTTGCTTAGCACCAATGACTTTAAAATGTCATCTACTGAGAACTCAATGAATTGCATCTGTAGTTCTTTAGGTGCCTTGGTGATATCAACCAGGTGAGGCTGAAATGCTCATTTGAGTGTGATTTCATGGTTCTCAAAGTCAGTCAACCTTTCATTGTGTTCTCCAAATAACAGGTCTATAACAGCTACATACTTTTCAAATGATTAGTATAATATCATCTGGCTCATCACTGACCTTTGCTAACCTAGGAAAATGTTAATCTGAAATTTCCTTCTGATGAAGAAGTGTTTTGAAAAAAGATAGCTTTTTTCAAAAAACTTAGTTTTGGGGAGGGGTTGCCACATATCACATACAGACTTAGTTTTACTTTGCAAAGAAATATTCAAGTCATTTCGATTTGACATGATATCACACAGAGCCAAGATGAATGGGCAAACATATCTTTTCAAAATGTCATTTCAATGTATAAAACTATGTCCATTTTTGATCTTGAATCATTTGACAGTGTTAAGGTTGGTAGTGGTGAGATCTGTCTTTTTTTAGGATTTAAGTGGTTATGATTGTGAAGGAGATAAGGGGCTACTTTGCTGGAAAAAGCAGCTGCTGAGCTTGTGTTCATTGGATTTCCTCCCCTCCCCACCCCAGGGTCCAGCTGGAGGTAGGACTCATGGCCTGAGGGGCACTGCTACTCACAGGGCTCTTAGGTAAAGGGTCCTGGAATGTAGTTTCTTTTGGAGTAGGGGTGGAGTAGAGAATAGTGCTTATGATTTCATCTGCTTCTCTTAATCTCCCATCTCTCTTCATTACATATTCATGCATACAAATAAGTAACTGCAAGGTGGATGCAAGATAAACACCAAGTAATTTTAGGTAGTGATAAGCACTAAAAATTGACTGAACTAGGAAGGCCTGTTGTGGGAGGTGAACTTGGGCTGAGGCTTCAGAGTTTCTAATAATTGCATGACAGGCAGATAAGGAGGAAGAACATTCTAGGCATGGGTCAAAGTCATGGAAATGGGAGATAGAATGCTGAATATAGGGAACAGCCAGAAGGCTGGTGTGGTTGGCATGAAAGGGGATGGTAATGTGTAATCAGCCCAGAAAGAAATGTTGGAGCCAACCTGTTGAGGGCTTTAAATACCAAACAAAAAAGTTCATATTTTACTCTAAAGGTAATAGGGAGCCACTGAAGCTTCTTGAATAGGGGAGTAGGTAGTCAGACTTGTGCTGATTATAATATCAATATGGTAGCTCCGTGAAGGATGAATTAGAGAGGAAGAGAAGCTGGATGACTGGAGACCAGTGAGAAAACTATTGCAATATTCCAGCAGAGAATATTGAAAGGCAGTGAGCAAACTCTCACATGCCTTAGTCACTTAGGTGTTATGCCTTCCTCAAGTGGAACTGGACACAGCATTAAAATCCTCTGCTGCTTTTATGTGTTACTGGCTGGGACTCTTCTGCAAGCCCAAGTTTGCAGAAGTCCTGAGACTGAGTCCCTGAGTCCTAAGTCCTAAGATTGTTGGAACTTAGGTTTGTCAGCTTCTGGTCTCACTACGTTCAAGTTTTTCATTAAGAGCCCCAAGTTTGATCCTTCCTGTAGCAATGCACAGTAATGAGAGAAAGCCCTCCCCAGAGCCAGTAAGACCTGGGTTCAAGCCCCGCCTCTGTCATATACTGGCTGTGTCCCTTAACTTCCCCGTCCTCTATGTGATTATCTACTTTCTAATTTTTATTAATTTTTAATTTTTATGTATTATTTTGCAGTGAGGTACTGACTTGCGTTGGTTGTGGTCATAGTTATTGTAGAATGGAGTCTAGTGTACTGCCTACCTCATGACAAAGTTTCTCAGCTTCTTTTTCTCTGTTTCTGTTTCTCTGCTCTCATCCATCTGACTGACCACTGACAAATCCTTACAACCCCTCCTATACCATGGGGGGCGGGGAGGTGCTAGAGCCAGCTCAAACCAGCTTTGATTGTTAAATTTTCAGTGTGAGCATTCATGCCTTGGAAATCAGAGAACATCAGGGTTTGATTTATTTTTTCTTAATGGAGTAGACCTAAGAAAATGATGGAGAAACTTTTTATAATGCAGATTAAATTTAAAAGTGTATCCTGGATTTTCAGAAAGGTTATTGTTAAGTATTTGCCACCATACCCCTATACCTTCTTTTTTTTTTCTTTTTCCCATTCAATTGCTTTCCAGTCACAAAACCCAGGACAACAGATCTTTCTTTCCTAAAGTACCTGATTTTGGTCATGCTTCACTTTGTCCCTTACAGGACAAACAGTCATGTAAAGTAAGTGGTAGAATAATGTCCAAGCCTTTATGTTGCTGCCCATATCCAGAACATCTGTTGGTGTAACTAGGACAAGTTTGGTCCCTGGGTGGCTTTACTTGAGGGCAATCACCCTTGCAGTGTTCCTTGACTATTGCTTCTCTGTTCTCTACACAAGAGCTGGGGGAGAAAGGATTTGTTGACTGTGCCAATGGGGCATGGGGCAGACTATTTAACAACCACTAATAGCTTACATGAAAGCTGCTTGTGGAGCAACCAGAGAGGAAGTAAGGGTAGGGCTTAATAGCTACTTTTATTGAAAGATATAGAATCCATAGAGCTTCCTACATTTCAAGCGAGTTCCTCCCTGATTCAGCACTACTCTGTGCCCTCCCCTGGCAGCAGCCTTCCTACAATGGTCTCATAGTATCTCAGGTCTTGGCTGCTATCCGGCCTTGAGTCTTGAGATCTCAGGTTTCTTTCTCAGGTCTCCTACCTCCTGCCCTCATCCTTATCCCTGCTCCTTCTCAAGGCACTGGTATTGCAAACAAGGACCTTGCTATTCCATACCACATAGTATGATATCATAACTCTCCTTATAAGCACAGTTTATTAAATTTATCCAAGAACAGCTTTATTTTCCATTGATTACAAATTGAAATCAGAGTTGATGGAAAATAACCACAAATGCTAGAGTAACCTTTACCCAAAGGACTCAAGGATCTCCAGGCACTCACAGTCACTCTCTCCATTATTGATTTTTCCTTGCACTGCAAATCTTCCTTGAGCCTCCGCCTGCACTTCTAGGATCTGCCAGCAGATGGCACTTCTTTACCTTTCTTCTGTCACAGGCTCCATCTTAGCATTGAAGAAGAAAACACATTAAGGCATTCCTGTTGTGGAAGGGGCACAGTTTCTCCTGTTTTATAGCTGAAATGCAGTGCTAGAAAAGTTTGCCCCAGCTCTCAGACCTCTCTCATGCTTTTCAGGTCCTACCACCCTCTGGCCTCACATAAGAATTCATTCAGGAATCAGGAACATATTCTGTCCTTTTCGTTTTTGAATGGGTCTCTATACCAACATGGTGCTAAACGCATGGACTCTACCTCCTTCCTCTAGACAAACAAGAATTGTTTTCCCTATTTGAATCAGCATTTCTCAGAGTTCTAGAAGTTTGATAACATTCCAATTTCCCTTTAATTGTATCACTAGCCCCACAAGTCCCTCTGAGTCACAACTGGGTATGGACAGTTATTTTAATTGCTTGGAGCTACTACCCACTACCTCTAGAAGTAGACAGAGAAGGAAAAGTAATCCCCCACCTGTACTGCACATCTGTAGACATTCTTAACATGAGTAGCTGGGGGGTGAAATGATTTTCCCTGTCCCTTTCCACTCTGCTGTGACCCCCTGCAGATCACTCTGCTTGGCATTATTGTGATAGGCCTAAAGAGAAGTGTGATTACAATTATTCTCTATAACATCTGTTGATGTCACTGGCTGACAGCACTTAAGTTAAATATTTCTGACAACTAAAACAATTATAATCATAATTGATAGTTTGCTACAAAGCCACTTGGTACATGGATACTGAGGTCTCCATGTCTCTATATATTTCATATATATATAATATGTGTGTATGCATATGTATGTATATATGTATGTTTGTATGTGTATATCTATATCTATATCTCCATACATATATATGGATATATATATATATATCCATATATATCACCACATACATGATAGATTGATCCATTGATTTTTGTACTCAGAACCAAGAGTACTTGGCCATCCAAGTACCCTGAGGCCAGGAGAAGGTGTTTGTGTGTCCAACAATGGACATATCTAGCAGGAGTGGGCTGCTGGCAAAGAAAGCTCCCACGTCAGAGTGGGTGGCCACCCAGAAGAAGATTGGTTCAGACTTGGGTATTTGATTAAACACTGCTAAGCAAAGGTGAAATATAAAATGGCTGATTGGCGGTCCTGAAAACTTGGTTATGTGCTAATCCATTATAACAATAGTTATAAGTAAAATGGCTAAATCCTGTTAATCCTGGTATTTCTGGTCATTCAAGATATAATCCTTCGTGTTCAACTTTTCTCTGTGTGCAGAATAAACTTCCTGCCCCATAGCAGATTAATTTAGTACACTGAGCATTTCTTTTATTCCCCCTCCCCCTTTGGGGGAATCCTTAGAATTGTAAGCCATATTCTAACTTACTCTAAGCAAAATTATTCCTCTCTCCACCCCAGTCATATTGGATGGGGTAATTCCAAAATCCTCAGGATTGGAGCAAGTCCAAATCTCACAGCTGAGTACAGAGCAAGGAGGGTGAATGTCTCAGCCCCCTGGGCCCAGTTGATTGGTGCCTCAGTTCTGGATGCATATTTGGGAAAATGTTTGCTAACAGAAAAGACTAACCCTGTAACAAAGTAAGTAACTGTCTTTAAAGAAATAACTGGTTCCGTATATGGAGAGAATTTAAGGTATACCTAAGTCTCTATACCATATGTTCTTTGAACAAGCTCAAACAATCAGCAGGCATTTATGGAACACCTACTATGTACCAGGCACTATCCTGGATGATGGGGGATCAAAGATAAAATGAAACAGTCCCTGCCTTTTAGAAATATTTTATCAGGGGAGACAGCAAGGACATATCAGTATATATATAATGTGTATACCAAATAAATTCAAAGCATTTGGTGGGGGGAGGGAGACACTAGCTGGGAGTTTCAGGAAAGGCCTTGTGGAGGAGATAGAGCTTGAACTGAGCTTTGAAGGAAACCAGAGATTTTAAGAGGTAGAGGAAAGGTGTAAGGGCATTTCAGTAAAAGCAGAGGATGAGTCCTCAGTGGTATACCTTGAAAGAAATGGAGCAATGGTATGTTCCTGGACAAGGCTGGAAGGGCTACACAACTAATTGGTAGAGAAGAGGAGGGGTGACTGTAGATGGGAGGAGAGGATCAGGAAAAAGAGAGAGCTCTGGGGCTATAGCATCTGACAGAGAAGGCCAAAAAATTAAAGGAATAACCACAAAGATTAAAGAAGCTAAGAAAACAGGAAAAGAGACAACGTCAAAAAGATTTGAGAAAGCAGATAATAGAGTTGAGAAAGCAATGGCCGAAGAGACCAGATGAATATTTTAAATGCAGAAAAACGTAAAAGTTTTTTTTAAAAAAGCAGGAATTCAATGTTATTTGAACATCATACAACTCACTCTAAATGTAACTTATCCCATCTGCCACACAACTCTGGTGCAAAGTACAAGGTTTGTGATAACTATACATGTAGTTCGGGGAAAGGAACTAAAGAAAGCAAGAGAGAGGAACAGAGAAATGACATTGGTACCTAGGCAATGCTGAGGGTGCACATGTAGGCAGTTTCTACACTTGGTATGCTGTTTTGAGTCAGAATTTATTTTTTAAAATCTTATTTAATATTTTCTTTTTCCCAATTCATGTAAAAACAATTTTAGCATTCTTTTTTCTTCAAATTTTGAGTTCCATATTCTCTCCCTCTCTCCCTTTCCTTGTCTCATTAAGAAGGCAAGCAATTTGACATAGGTTTTACATGTATAGTCCTGCAAAACACATTTTCAAAGAAGTCATTCTGTGAAAGAAAACATAGACAAAAAAATAAAGAAATTAAAGAAAAAGTATCTTTGATATGCATTCAGGCTCTACCAGTTCTTTGTCTGGAGATGGACAGCACCTTTCATCCTAAGCCCTACAGGATTGTCTTAGATCATTGTATTGCTGAGAACAGCTAAGTTACTCATAGTAGTTCCATATAATATTGTTGTTACTGTGCACAATGTTCTTCTGGTTTTGTTCGTTTCACTTTGCATCAGGTCATGTGAGCATTTCTTGGTTTTTCTGAGAGCATCCCACTCATTCTTTCTTTCTTTTTTCCATTGTATTATTACCCCCGCATACTTAATAGTATTTTATTTTTTCCAATTACATGTAAAGCTAGTTTTCAACATTCACTTTTATAAGATTTTGAGTTCCAAATTTTTCTCCCTCCCTCCTCTTCCCCTTTTTCAAGGTGGCAAGCAGTCTGACATAGGTTATACATGTGCAATCACAATATTCAATTGGTCATGTTGTGAAAGAAGAATCAGAACAAGAGGGAAAAACCACCAAAAAAAAGGGAAAAGAGTATCCTTCAATCTGCATTCAGACTCCTCATAATTCTTTCTCTAGATGTGAATAGCATTTTATATCAAGAGTCTTTTGGAATTGTCTTAGATCATTGTAGCTGAAAAGAGCTGCGTCTATCACAGCTGATCATTACACTATGCTGTCATTACTGTGTACAATATTCTGGTTCTGCTCACTTCACTTTGCATCAGTTCATGGAAGTCTTGCCAGGTTTTTTCTGAAACCCACCTGCTCATTCCATTCCATTCACACACCACTATTTGTTTAGCCATTCCCCAATTGACAGGCATCCTTTCAATTTTCAATTCTTTGCCACCATTAAAAGCTGCTATAAATATTTTTTTTACACACAGGTCCTTTTCCCTTTTTTATCTTTTTGGGATACAGACCTAGTAGTGGTGTTGCTTGATCAAAGGATGTGCATGGCTTTATTGTCCTTTGGGCATAGTTCCAAATTGCTCTCCAGAATGGCTGAATTAGTATACAACTTCACCATATGGTGGAGAAAGACAGCTCTTCTCATGTCTTTCTAGAGTATTTTACTTCAGTAACCTCAAGTGTGATTGACCTCTTCCATCTTGCCCCTTGAAGCTGGAAACCAAAAATGCCCAAAGTGACTTGAAGCTTGAAAAGTCCCAAAGAGACTGAAGAAGGCTGGAGCTCTCCTGTCTCCCCCCCCACCCAATTCTGTCCTACCTCTCATGTAGGGCAGAACCTTTGTCTCTACCAATAAGGAAAGAGTCCCTAGCTTTGGGACAGGGGTTATGTATATATAACTAAACTGAGATTCAGAAATATTGCCTATGGTCACACATCTAGTATACACTGAACCCCAGGTTTGCCACTGCTCTCTCCACTACATTATACTGTAGAATGAATGAATGAATGAATGGTCATTGATTAATCACTCTGTGTATACCAGACATTTACTAGTCACAGGAGATACTAATGCCAAAAATAAAAGAGTTCCATTTTGACTAAGAAAAGAGAATACATGTATAAGAGTGGTGACCAAGGAGGGGTGTTTTGGTGAAAGAATTCACTGGGATGGTCAGTAGAGTCACAACAATTGGTCCAAAGGAGGAGTCTAGATAAGGTGATGGAAAAATTTTGAAATGAGAGAAACTTTCATGAAAGAGGCACCTGAGATAGGTCTGGAAGGAAGAGCAGGAATTCAAGAAAGAGAAATATGAGGGAAAGAAGTTCCAGGCCTAGAGAATAACCTATGCTAGTGCCCATAAGAAACTCAGATGGCAGAATAGGAAGCGCAATAGCTAATCATCTTTTTACACACACACACACACACACACACACTCACATACACACACTTACCAGTAATTCACTTCATTAGATAATCATTGAGTCTTAGTGTTTACACAGCACAGACTTATATGTGCTTGTTTTCTGCCTTCCCACCACTACCCAAGGACCTAAGTTGGCTATGTCCTAGATAATGTTGCCCATACCCTCACAGAAAATTATCTTCTTAGCTGTACTCTTAAGTCAGACTTATTGAGAGCAAAAACAGTACAAGGTGTGAATTATGTAAGTTAGCAAGTCACATAGGGCTCAATAAGACCCAGTCCAGAGGCCAGTGATGTCCAGCTCAGGAGCAAACCCAGCATAGGGCCTTGAACATATTTAGCATTTAATTCATGTTAGTGCCATTGAACCATAGTTTCACTGAGATCCCTATATAAAGTCCTTGAGTCCAATGTGCTTTTTGTCTAGGGTCCTTTTGTCTGCACCCCTCAGAAGTCTACGTTCTTCACTCCTATTCCTAACTGAGGTTACTGATTTTCTCCAGTCTCAAAATTATGTCTTTTTGTTGGTCCCAATTGTGTATTGAAGTTAACTTTTTTTTTTCTTTTTCAAATGTTGCCTTGGGTTGTGTCTAATGAGAAGTGGTGCACTTAATATATGGCCAAATAT